TTTTTTTCAATATCAGGCGCTGCGGCGAAATCAGAGTACCAGAAGATTGTAGTACTTTTCGTGTGTTTCGCGCTTCTGATGACACTGCCTTCAATTTAATCACAGGGCCTCAACATTTTTTCAGTGATTATTTAAAGTAGCTAAGGTTAGGTAAGGTCAAAAACGAGTCAAAAAGAGTCAGTTTAATATTCGGACGGGCTTTGAAAACCCGTTTGTCTTTTGCCCGTCTTTTTAGCAATATATGTCCTTGAGCCCTAATGGGCTATGAGTCAATAGCTCATGAGGCAGAAGGCACGCGGATTGGTTATTGACTAATATTGACTCATAGGCCATTAGAGCGAGAGGGATYGTTTTTTTAGTCAAATCCAACTAGTCGGTCAAATATATAAATGCAAATATGTTTTGAATAGACCTATCCCGAATTCGCTTGACTGATCACGAAACAATGGTTTTAAGTCGAGGTTGAACTTGATGAATAAAAAAATCAAGTTAAATCTCCACTTCAAACCATTGTTTCGTGGTCAGTCAAGCGAATTCGGGATAGGTCTATTAAAGGTAAATCTAATGTTTGGGTTTTCGGAGCCGGCACTTTTCGCTACTAGTGGGACATAACTTATGGCTTAGTAGCGCCTCATCCAAACAAAACGCCATTTAAAGTGGATATCGCCGAGCCAACTGAAAGCCTAACCATTTGTAGATGTAATTACATAATTACAAACGCAGCACTTAGCCTCCTCCGTAGGCTACTCGCTAAGGTTTTTGTTGGTTTGGTTTTTGTTGCTGTTCGAGAGGGGTGGGTATCCTGTGGTGAAAACGAGGTCGGTCAACTCTCAGCCAACACAGGAAGCCCAGTACGGGAAAGAGAGAGAAGAGAGAAAACTAGACGCCTGAGGAGGAGACTAGGCAGCAATTTCTTTTCAGTTATTTTAAGACCCTGAGTGTTGGTCCGGCTGCCAATGTGTGACGAAATAATTCAATTCCCTTGAGCAAAAACTAATTACGTAATTACAGCGCTTTTGTAGCCCCTAGAGGGATTGTATTGATCTRTTGTTAAGGACGTTCATGGGCAAAACAACCCATCGTCAGATTTTTTAAMAATTTTGCATGATGAAAGAACATCATACTAGAAGTAAAATATAAGCAAATAAAAAGTGAGGGTCCCCGACTTCGTTTAGCCGTCAGAATACGTGGAAGCTCACCCTTTTTACGGTAAAAACGCGCGAACAACGTAAACATGGAAAGCTGTCAAAAATAAGCCATATTTTACTAARAAAATWAATTTGTAGTCCCCATTTTTCACAGAAGACTAGAAAATAACCAAATAACTAGTTAGCATTTGAAATGTGTGTTAAAAATTAGAAATACAAAATGTGAAATGTTGTCTATTTCAATTAAACACAGAGTATGTCATTTCGATTTAATTGAACCCATCGCGTCAGATTTTTCAAATTTTTGCTCTAAAGTTAGGTATTACCGAGTACTTTCAAAAAA